TTTTCCTTTCCCATTTTAGCAGCTCCCTTTCCCCTTTTCCTTTCCCCTTTTCCTTTCCCCTTTTCCTTTCCCCTTTTCCTTTCCCCTTTTCCTTTCCCCTTTTCCTTTCCCATTTTCCTTTCCCCTTTTCCTTTCATTTCCCACTTTCCCTTTTTCTTCCTTTCCCACTTTTTCCCTTTTCCTTTCCCATTTTCCTTTTCCTTTCCCATTTTCCTTTCCTTTCCCATTTTCCTTTCCCATTTTCCTTTCCCATTTTTTTTCCTTTCCCATGTTCCTTCTTCCTCTTTCCCATTTCTCATTTTCCTTTTCATTTTCCTTCTTCCCCTTTTTTCCCTGTTTTTCTCCTTTCCTTTCCCTTTCCCATTTTTTCCTTTCTCTTTTTTTGTTTCCTTTTTTTTCCATTACTTTTTTCTTTTTCCTTTCCCATTTTCCTTTCCCATTTTCCTTTCCCATTTTCCTTTCCCATTTTCCTTTCCCATTTTCCTTTCCCATTTTCCTTTCCCATTTTCCTTTCCCCCTTTCCTTTCCTTTCCTTTCCTTTCCTTTCCTTTCCTTTCCTTTCCTTTCCTTTCCTTTCCTTTCCTTTCCTTTCCTTTCCTTTCCTTTCCTTTCCTTTCCTTTCCTTTCCTTTCCTTTCCTTTCCTTTCCTTTCCTTTTTTCCTTTTTTCCTTTTTTCCCTCCCATTTTTTCCCCTTTTCCATTATTTTTTCCCCCTTTCCCCCATTTCTCCCCTGCCCAAACCACCTCACATTTTGAAGCATTGTGGGAGCTTTTGTGTGAAAAATCACCTTTTTTCCATCACAAAGAGAGGAGGAGGGGCTGGAATTCTGCTGTCAGCATCTCCAGGCTGACATTCCTACAGACAGAAACTCCTAATTATTGTTCTCAAAACCTTCCATAATCACCCAAAATCCCAGGCAGAAAAACTGCCTGGAAAATCTCCTTGTGCAGGATGTGAGGAAAAACCCTCGGGGTGCCCCCAGGGGAGCTTGAAATCAGAATTTTTCCCGATTTTTTTAAATGGGAATCATTTTCCCTGCCCTTCCAGAGGAACCCACGGCACTTCCCCCCATCCCCGAGCCCCTGCGGCCAAACCCGGAGCGCTCCTGCTGGAAAATGTGGAGCTAAAAATAACCCAGGAGGGAAAAAATTCCTTAATTTGCTGCTGGAATTGCAGATGGATTGGGTTCAGACGGAATAAAAAAAGGAATGTTCCAATATTCCTCATTTTTGCCCCAGGGCCGGGCTCGGAAATCCGCGGTGTCATCCGGAATTGTGTCAGCCATGAAGGACCAGGAATGTTCCGGAAGATTCCACCCCTTCCCACAGGAATTGCCTCTCCTCCCAGCGCTGAGCGTGGCTTTTTCCAGGGGTGGGAAATCCCGCTCCGACAAAGCCGGGCTTGGCAAGAGCCGGGTTTAAACCCGGGCTTAAACCTCGCCGCGCGCGGCTCTCGCTCCTCGCGGGGACGACGATTCCTCGGATCATCACAACTTGATCATCAGAACTTCATCGTCACAGCTTTATCATCACAACTTGATCATCACAACTTCATCGTCACAAATTTGGCATCAAAACTTGATCATCACAACCTCATCGTCACAAATTTGTCATCACAACTTGATCGTCACGACTTTATCGTCACAAATTTGTCATCAAAACTTCATTGTCACAAATTTGTCATCACAACTTGATCATCACAAATTTGTCATCAAAACTTGATCATCACAACTTCATCGTCACAGATTTGTCATCACAACTTGATCATCACAACTTCATCGTCACAAATTTGTCATCAAAACTTCATTGTCACAAATTTGTCATCACAACTTGATCATCACAAATTTGTCATCAAAACTTCAAAGCCGGGCTTGGCAAGAGCCGGGTTTAAACCCGGGCTTAAACCTCGCCGCGCGCGGCTCTCGCTCCTCGCGGGGACGACGATTCCTCGGATCATCACAACTTGATCATCACAACTTCATCGTCACAGATTTGTCATCACAACTTGATCATCACGACTTTATCGTCACAGCTTTACCATCACAACTTCATCGTCACAGCTTCATCGTCACAATTTCATCGTCACAACTTTTATCGTCACAACTTTATCAGTCATCACAACTTTATATCATCACAACTTCACCATCGCAACTTTATCATCAGACTTTATATCATCGCAACTTTATCATCACAACTTTATCACAACTTTATCAATCATCACGACTTTATTGTCACAACTTTATCACAACTTTATCTTCACAACTTCATTGTCACAGCTTTATCATCACAACTTTATCAATCATCACGACTTTATCGTCACAACTTTATCACCACAACTTTATCTTCACAACTTGATTGTCACAACTTCATTGTCACAGCTTTACCATCACAACTTTACCATCACAACTTTATTGTCACAACTTCATCGTCACAACTTTATCATCACAACTTTATCACAACTTTATCTTCACAACTTCATTGTCACAGCTTTATCATCCCAACTTTACCATCACAACTTCATCATCACAACTTCATCGTCACAAATTTATCATCACTTTATCATTACAACTTCATCATCACAACTTCATCGTCACAACTTTATCATCACAACTTTATCATCAAACTTTATATCATCACAATTTTATCGTCACAATTTCATCACAACTTTATCACCACAACTTTATGTCATCACAACTTTATCACAACTTTATCAATCATCACAACTTCATTGTCACAACTTGATCATCGCAACTTTATCACCACAACTTTATTGTCACAACTTCATTGTCACAGCTTTATCATCCCAACTTTACCATCACAACTTCATCATCACAACTTCATCGTCACAACTTTATCATCACAACTTTATCAATCATCACAACTTTATCATCACAACTTCAGCTTTATCATCACAACTTTATCGTCACAACTTCATCGTCACAACTTTATCATCATTTTATCATCACAACTTTTCTCATCACAACTTCATCATCACAACTTCATCGTCATAACTTTATTGCCACAACTTTATATCATCAAACTTTATATCATCACAACTTTATCGTCTTAACTTTATCACCACAACTTCATCACCAAAACTTCATCATCACAACTTTATCATCAAACTTTATATCATCACAACTTTATATCATCACAACTTTATATCATCACAACTTTATCATCACAACTTGATCATCACAACTTCAGCATCACAACTTTATCATCACAACTTGATCATCACAACTTCAGCATCACAACTTTATCATCACAACTTGATCATCACAACTTCAGCATCACAACTTTATCATCACAACTTGATCATCACAACTTCAGCATCACAACTTTATCATCACAACTTGATCATCACAACTTCAGCATCACAACTTTATCATCACAACTTGATCATCACAACTTCAGCATCACAACTTTATCGTCTTAACTTTATCACCACAACGTTATCGTCACAACTTCGTCACATCTTCATCACCACAACTTCATCATCACAACTTCAGCATCACAACTTTATCATCAAACTTTATATCATCACAATTTTATCGTCACAATTTCATCACAACTTTATCACCACAACTTTATGTCATCACAACTTTATATCATCAAACTTTATATCATCACAACTTTATCGTCTTAACTTTATATCACCACAAAGTTATCGTCACAACTTCATCGTCACAACTTTATCATCACAACTTTATCGTCACTTTATCATCACAACTTTTCTCATCACAACTTTATCATCACGCCTTTATCGTCACAACTTTATTGCCACAACTTTGTCATCACAACATTATCGTCACAACTTTATCGTCACAACTTCGTCATAACTTCATCACCACAACTTCATCATCACAACTTTATCACCACAACTTCATCACCACGACTTTATCCCTGGATTTTTTGTTGTCTCTTGCCGCCCGCGACCCCGCGCTCCGGATCACCGAGAGCCTTCCTCATGGAATTCCTCCTCCTCCTCTTCCCGTTTTTTTCCACGTGTCCGAGCCCTTGCTGCCGGCAAAGCTTTGAATTCTCCTGACAGAGTGATTTATTCCAGAAATGTCACCGGCCCCGCTGGGTTTCCGCCCCACTTTTGATTGAAATCCCATTAAAAAGAGGCGGAAAAGGTCGGAGCTCCAAGGGGAATGTTCCGGAACTCTGGAATTGTGGAGGTCACAGGACACCCACCCGCCCTGGGGCTCCTGGCTGGGCAGGGGGAGGGAGGTGCTGAGAAGGTTTAATGGGATCATTCCTGGTGGGAAAGCCACATCACGCCCATCCACGAGGAGATCCACGAGGAGATCCCGAGGATCTCCAGGATCCGCCTTCCCCTCGGTGCTGGCACTTCAGGAAGTGTCTCCCTCCCCTTTTCCATCCACAAGTGCCATAAAATTCCATAAAATTCCCCCAAAACCGGGGTGGTTTGGATGAACAGCGGCCCTAAATCCCACCCCATTCCAATCCCAGGATCCCAGGGTGCTCCAACTTTTCCTTGGACTCTCCCAGGGATTCTCAGGAATTCCTTCCCAAATCCCACCCCAAGCTCCCTTTCCCAGGGAATTCCCTCCATTCCCAGCTCTCCCAGCCTGGAGTTTTCCATCCCCATCCTGACTCCTCTCCAGGAAGGAATTTCAGGATCCAGGGGCTTCCCTGGGAATTCTGGACTCCGGGAAGAGTCTCCCTTCCCTTTTCCATCCGCAAATCCCACAAAAATCCCTCAGGATGAGTCCTGAGTGCCCTGGATCCCACAATCCTGGAAGGTTTGGGATCCATGCAGCTTCAATCCCATCCCATTTTTTTTTTTCCATGGGGAAAAAGAACGGGATAATTTGGGAAGCAGGAGGCTGCAGCAAGTTTGAGCTCAGGGATCCCTCAGCTGCTCCTCGTGTCACCTCAGGGGGACAATTCGGGTTTTGACCTCAGCTCCTCCTGGGAAAGGATCAAATTTGGGAATTTCGGGGGACGGACAGATGCGGCCGAGCCCGGTGTGAATAAATAAACACGGAATTTATTCCCGAGAGACGCGCCCCATGAACCAGGAAAAGCCGACAGCAGCAGACAAAAGGCGTTTTTCCCACCAGGACCACCCCAAAATCCTGAAATTCATCCCGAGGATGCAGCAGGATGGACCCAGGACGAGACACCTGGAACGTCCCAGAGCTGCTCCTCCAGAGGAGACGATGTCCCATTTCCCAAAATCATGGAATTAGGAGGGACCTCCAGGATCATCGAGTCCAGCTCTGGAGCTCTTGGCAGCCGTGGGCTCTGGCAGAAGCAAATCCTGGGCTTCAGGATTTCAGGATTTCAGGATGAGGCTCTCCAGGACCATCATTCCAGCCACTTCACCATGTAGGGCCCCTCCAGCTCGTAGCCGATCTTCCTGTAGTAATCCCTGGTGCCGACACCTGCCAGGAGGAGGAGGAGGAGGATGAATTCCTGGGACAAAGCTGGAAAAGCCAGGCCGGGCAGGCCAGGCCCTTCCACGGAGCAACGGCGCCGCAGCGGGGGCGTTAGCTCGTTAGCAGCCGGACTAATTACAGAGCTGCAGCTGCGCCCTGTGCCCCGCGCCCTCCGAGAGGGAGCGGAACCCGGGAATGACCAGGGATCGTCACCGGGGCTGAAGGGCCCTACAGCCCCCAGGGACATTCCGGGAGTCGGGAATGAGCTCAGCTCCACTCCAGCTGCTCCCTGTGCCCCGCGCCCTCCGAGAGGGAGAGGAACCGGCTCGGAGGAATGGGAACGGAACCCGGGAATGACCAGGGATCATCACCGGGGCTGAAGGGCCCTACAGCCCCCAGGGACATTCCGGGAGTCGGGAATGAGCTCGGCTCCACTCCAGCTGCTCCCTGTACCCCGCGTCCTCCGAGAGGGAGCGGAACCGGCTCGGAGGAATGGGAACAGAACCCGGGAATGACCAGGGATCATCAGCAGGGCTGAAGGGCCCTACAGCCCCCAGGGACATTCCGGGAGTCGGGAATGAGCTCGGCTCCACTCCAGCTGCTCCAGTGGGCGCAATCCAATTTCCTGCTCCAAGAGCCTCTTCCCTGCCCGTCCTCTCCTGCCCGGGAAAAAGGCCCAGCTCCGCGTCCTTCCCTCCTCAGCTAATTAGCCACAGGTGCACTAATTACTCATCGGGGAGCGAGGGAGGGCTCAGCGTCATCGGCGGCGCAGGATGGAGAGGACTCGGCTCTCCAGGCCCTCCTGCATCCCTCTCCAGGCTCCTGGAAACTCCAGGGCTTTCCAGGAATGGCTGGGAATGACCTGGTGACCCTTTCCTGCCCACGGGGCTGCTCACACAGGTTGGGTTAAAATGCTCCTCAGCGCTTCCTGAATGTGGATTTCAGAGTTCCTGAATGGTTTAAAATCCCCAAAAATTCCCATCCAGCATCCTCATGCTCCTGCCCATAGTGGAGCGTGGACCTGGAGGGATCCCAGGTCCTGCATCCCTCTCCTGGAATCTCCAGCGCTTTCCAGGAATGGCTGGGAATGACCTGGTAACCCTTTCCTGCCCACGGGGATGCCCTGTGCAGGTTGGGTTAAAATGCTCCTCAGCGTTTCCTGAACGTGGATTTCAGAGTTCCTGAATGGTTTAAAATCCAAAAAAATTCCCATCCAGCATCCCTGTGTCCCTCTCCATGGCAGGGCTTGGACCTGGAGGGATCCCAGCTCCTTCATCCCTCTCCAGGCTCCTGGAATCTCCAGGGCTTTCCAGGAATGGCTGGGAATGACCTGGTGACCCTTTCCTGCCCACGGGGCTGCTCACACAGGTTGGGTTAAAATGCTCCTCAGCGCTTCCTGAATGTGGATTTCAGAGTTCCTGAGTGGTTTAAAATCCCAGAAAATTCCCATCCAGCATCCCTGTGTCCCTCTCCAGGCTCCTGGAATCTCCAGGGCTTTCCAGGAATGGCTAGGAATGACCTGGTAACCCTTTCCTGCCCATGGGACTGCCCTGGGCTGCTCACACAGGTTGGGTTAAAATGCTCCTCAGCGTTTCCTGAACGTGGATTTCAGAGTTCCTGAATGGTTTAAAATCCCCAAAAATTCCCATCCAGCATCCCTGTATCCCTGCCCATGGCGGAGCTTGGACCTGGAGGGTCTTTAAGGTCCCTCCCAACCCCAACCACTCTTGGATTCATCCCAGCATTCCAAACGGATCAATTTGAGGTCTGGAAAAGGCACCCGAACCCCAGACCCGAGATGTCCTCGTGCCCCCATTCCAGCAGCTGGGAAGACCCTGGAGAACCACCAGGAACCCCAAACTGGGAACACCGGAGCGAATTCCCCTCCCAGCAGTGACACAGTCCCTGTGACGTCACAGCAGGGACCAAGGACACCCCGGAGGGACCCAAATTCGCTCAGCTTTTGGAGCCTGAAACCAAGGAAAACCCAAAAAATGCGAACACATCCCTTTTTACCCTTTTCCTGACCTCTGCCTGGGAGGGTCAGGACTTCTGGTCTGGAGTAAACCGTGACCTCAACCAACATCCTGCCCAAAAATCATCCCCTGGGTTCATCAGCAGAGCAGCTGGGGCACAAAACATAAGATTTTGGCTCTGAAAGATCATCCACAACCCCAAAACACTTGGAAAAAGGGTCGGCAGCACCTCAAGGTGAAGGACAACCAAGTAACTGAACGGATGGTTTGACACCACCTCCGTCAGAGCTCCGAAACAATTCCCCCTTTCCTTTATTCCCTGGAAAACGTGGGGGGTTTGAAGGCAACACCTCGGGGTGCTTCCATGAATCTGGAGCTGCTCAGGGCGCCAGGTCTGCCCCGCTGGGTCCGAGCCACTGGCGTGTCCCCGTGTCCCAGGGTTCCGAGTGTCCCCATTGCCACCCCAGCCCTGCTCATGGCAGGAACTTCTTCCACAAAATGTCCTTCAGTGGGGAAGGCTGGAGATGCCTGAAGGAGGCAGGGCGAGACCCTGTGGGACGCCTGGAGTCCCCGTGGAGAGAGCGATTCCAGAGCTGGAGAAGAACCCTGGAATGGTTCTTCTCCAATGCCCAACGCTCCTGGAAGGTCTCCATGGCACAGGATCTCCTCCCAGATGTTTTCTGTTCTGAAATCTGAATCTTCTCCCAGAGCTGGTGGGACCTGTCCAGGCAGAACCCTTCCGGTGTTTTCCAGGGAAAGGAAACCCTCCAAGAAATATCCCGAGAGAACTCTCCTGCAGGATTGGAAGAGCAAGACCAAACCCTTGGCTTTCCAAGGCAGAACTGGCCGCATTCCCCACCCTGCAGCTTCAGGAGAGGGATTTAATGTTCAACGTTCCACATCCAACCGCGGCAGAGCTCGGGCTGAGCGGGATCCATCCAGATCCAGATCCAGCAGGACTCCTGGAAGGTCTCCATGGCACAGGATCTCCTCCCAGATGTTTTCTGTGCTCCTGGAAGGTCTCCATGGCGCAGGATCTCCTCCCAAACGTTTTCTGCTCTGAAATCTGAATCTTCTCCCAGAGCTGGTGGGACCTGTCCAGGCAGAATCCTTCTGGTGTTTTCCAGGGAAAAACAACCTCCAAAAAATATCCCAAAAGAACTCTCCTGCAGGATTGGAAGAGCAAGATGAAAACTTGGCTTTCCAAGGCAGAACTGGCCGAATTCCCCTCCCTGCAGCTTCAGGAGAGGGACTGAACGTTCAACATTCCGCATCCAACCGCGGCAGAGCTCGGGCTGAGCTTGGCAGAGCGGGATCCATCCAGATCCAGATCCAGATCCAGATCCAGCAGGACTCCTGAAAGGTCTCCATGGCGCAGGATCTCCTCCCAAATGTTTTCTGCTCTGAAGTCTGAATCTTTTCTCCCAGAGCTGGTGGGACCTGTCCAGGCAGAACCCTTCCGGTGTTTTCCAGGGAAAGGAAACCCTCCAAGAAATATCCCGAGAGAACTCTCCTGCAGGATTGGAAGAGCAAGACCAAACCCTTGGCTTTCCAAGGCAGAACTGGCCGCATTCCCCACCCTGCAGCTTCAGGAGAGGGATTTAATGTTCAACGTTCCACATCCAACCGCGGCAGAGCTCGGGCTGAGCGGGATCCATCCAGATCCAGATCCAGCAGGACTCCTGGAAGGTCTCCATGGCACAGGATCTCCTCCCAAATCTTTTCTGCTCTGATTTACCCCCAGAGCTGGTGGGACCTGTCCAGGCAGAACCCTTCCGGTGTTTTCCAGGGAAAGGAAACCCTCCAAGAAATATTCCAAAAGAATTATCCCCCAGGATTGGAAGAGCAAGACCAAACCCTTGGCTTTCCAAGGCAGAACTGGCCGAATTCCCCACCCTGCAGCTTCAGGAGAGGGACTGAACGTTCAACATTCCGCATCCAACCGCGGCAGAGCTCGGGCTGAGCTTGGCAGAGCGGGATCCATCCAGATCCAGATCCAGATCCAGATCCAGCTCCAGCCCTGAAAGGTCTCCATGGCGCAGGATCTCCTCCCAAATGTTTTCTGCTCTGAAGTCTGAATCTTTTCTCCCAGAGCTGGTGGGACCTGTCCAGGCAGAACCCTTCCGGTGTTTTCCAGGGAAAGGAAACCCTCCAAGAAATATCCCGAGAGAACTCTCCTGCAGGATTGGAAGAGCAAGACCAAACCCTTGGCTTCCCAAGGCAGAACTGGCCGCATTCCCCACCCTGCAGCTTTAGGAGAAAGATTGAATGTTCAACATTCCGCATCCAACCGCGGCAGAGCTCGGCAGAGCGGGATCCATCCGGATCCAGATCCAGATCCCGATCCCGATCCAGATCCAGCTCCAGATCCAGATCCAGCAGGAGGACAGAGGCTCGGATCCACCTGCCTGGATGCAAACCCACGGCCAGGAGCCAGGGGAGGCTTTTTGGAAGTGTCCCCCCCACAATCTTCGAGTGACACATCCTCTGCCAACGGCGAAGTTAAACCCTTTTGGAGCCCTGGAACCGTGGCGAAAGCTGCTGATAACCCCCCAAAACCTGGAATTTGCATCCCGAAAATTAATGAAATCCGTTCTGGAAGCCTGCCCGGAGCAGGGGACAGAGGGAAGTGGCTGAAGCACCGGGGATAAGCACAGCCCAGAGGGACGGACGCGGGCACGGGACCGCGGCAGCACCAAATCCACAAATCCACAAATCCATAAATCCATAAATCCCCGTCTCTGACTCAGCCCTGCCGCGCGGGAACACCGACACGGCGTCCGAGCATCCTCCAAGATCCCCCGGCCACGGAACTGGGTGGAAATGAGGTTTTTTCAGCATCGTTAACGAGCTGCTAATTGTTCATAAAATTTCGGCGGCAGAGACGTTCCCCATCTCCACCTCTTCCCTGGCAACCACCGGGATCTTCTCCCGGGATGGGAGTCCGGGCTCGTCCTGACTCGCGGATTCCTTCCCCTCCAAATATTCCAGGGATAACCGAGCTGGCTGAGGTGCCAGCTGTGGTTTTCC